TGCATTCAAAGTGGAACCTGAAGAGAGTTTAGCAAAGGGACACCACCTTTAACCATGTCCACACCTTGTGGAGGTGTGGGCAAGGTTAAAAGTACCAACAGGGTATGCAGATGTATTCAGGAACTAGATACTAGAAAGTTCTAGTAGGGACAAGGGGCGGGAGCTGTTACTGTAACTCAGTGGGAGCTGTTGCCAAGGCAGGCAGAGATGCTGCTCAACAGGAATGTGGCAGAAGAAAGAAGCCAGAACCAAAACTGACTGGCCAGGTGTGAGGGTGGGCTGTGAGGGGAGGTAAATATCATCCTGTCTACTCACTCTTCCCCCCTTATAACTCCCTCCTATCGATGAAACCCACCAGAAACCAGAGGACTGTCATGAGTAGGGAATGTAGTCTGCAGCAGTCAGCCTGCCTGGGCACATAGCAGGGCAGAGAAGGGTGGAGAGTGGGCCATTCGAAAATTGCCAGCATGGGTAATGAGGGCTGGAGAGAGGACAAGAGGCATCAGTCTGCTGTCCTACCAGTGAACTTCCCTGAGGTGAGCACTGGAGACCTGCTACCCTGTTCCCATTTTATAAAGCTCACCTCCACCTGTCTCTCCATAAAATCCATTGCCCTTTTGAATTCTTTCTTCAACTACTCATGGGTAGTTAGCCTTTGTTCCAAAAAGGCTGTGAAGTGGGAGCAGAACCATTCTTTAATTAAATTATCAATACCTACTGCACTGTGGGGTGAAAATTCATCACTGTCCTATTTCTTAATCTCATATGTCCTCAGCTGTAGCATCCAATTGGCTCACCAGAAGATATGAAGTAGATCAAATAATAGAAATGTGTGACAATATGCTGTCTGACAATGATACAATGCCAGTAACATGGAAATGTCCTAAATAACCTACTTTTATTACAGTATTTCATTGATTCTAAGATGTCCATGTTCATTTTCTTCCCCCACATTTTTTTTTTTAAAGAGACTAGGTCTTGCTATGTTGCCCAGGCTGGTCTTGAACTCCTGGGCTCAAGATATTGTCCCACCTCAGCCTCTCGAGTAACTGGGATTGCAGGCACCCACCACCATACCTGGCAATTTTTCATATTTTAACCTCTCTGAAATTGGTGTTCATATTATAGTCTCATCATCCAGGCTGCAGTTATGATGGAGTTTTCATTGTCTGCACATGTGTATTAGAACTTTAAGAACAGATACCGGCAGCTTGGAAGAAAATACTGCAGACAGAATGAAGCACTCTGCTATAAAATGCTCTATCATCAGTGCTCTTGGTGACACAGAGAGTGACACTGAGATGCACACAGGCCATTCTGAATTAAAAAGTGATTCAGAAAGCAAGTAGATGAGTGGTTGCAGGGGCTGGGGGAGCAGGAGGAGTGGAATGGGGAGTGACTGCTAATAGATAACAGGGTTTCTTTGGGGAGTGATAGAAATGTTCTGGAATATTCCCTTGAAGGATTTTAATAAAGAAATCAAGAGAAATGTTCTAGAATAGATAGTGGTGACAGTTGTACAACTTCGTGAATGCACTAAAAACACTGAATTGTACACTTTAAAGGGATGTATTTTATGGTGTGTGAATTATATCCTGGTTTTCAAAAAGTGATTCAGAGCATAGGGAAAAGCCGGGTAATGAGCACATGAGAACTCTATACTTATTGTGAATCCAAAATTATTTCACAATAAAAAACTTAAAAAAACTTTTGGAATATCATCCAAAATTGAGGTCCTATATAGAAAAATCTGTATTCAGAGTATGTTACAGGCTTGTGTGAACTATGTCTTAGGGGGGGAAAAAGACATTCAATAAAAACTTGTCCGACTTTCAGCTGGGTGTGGTGGCTCATACCTGTAATCCCAGCACTTTGGGAGGCCGAGGTGTGTGGATCATCTGAGGTCAGGAGTTAGAGACCAGCCTGACCAACATGGTGAAACCCTGTCTCTACTAAAAATACAAAAATTAGCCAGGTGCGGTGGTGGGCTCCTGTAATCTCAGCTACTCGCAAGGCCAAGGCCAGAGAATCGCTTGAACCCAGGAGGTGGAGGTTGCAGTGAGCTGAGATTGCGCCATTGCACTCCAGCCTGGGCGACAACAGTGAAACTGTCTAAAAATTTAAAAAAAAAAAAAAAAAAAAAAATCTTGTTCAACTTTGAAAGCGAAGATGATTCAGAATATTTGGATTCCTAATATAAAGAGCTTCTAAGAATACGTTATTTTGCTTATATTTTCCTTTGTATACATGCACAAGCGCAACCTATGATACAAATCTATGTCCAAGTAAGTCTAAAAGAGGTTGTTAATGAAGTATAAACATTTTAAGTGACAAAAGAGCATTTTGTCAAAGTTTAGCTGGCATTTTCCCCCTTCTTAATAGTATGTTAGTTATTAAATACATTCCCAAGGAGGAATGCCCCCCGAATCAAATTTCCTTTCTCTTATAAGGTAAAGACCAAGGATAGTAAAGTCCACGATGATCTCCTGCAAACACTCTCATACCATTCAGCCTCAGCCCAGGGCCTTCACCCGGTGGCTGCAGTCAATGTCTCTTGTGTGTTCCACTTTTAGAGTTCATAGGGTTAACAGAACAGAGAAGATTATCCCAGCACCAGCCCCACGCCCGACTTAGAAAACATGAACTAATTTGCTTTCCCCTACAGCAGTTAGACCAGTTATATCAGTCCTGATTCTAGGTTATGAGCCACAGAAACCAACATTGCCTGAGCAAAGAAGGAATTTATCCATAGTCCATTGGGTAGTTGGGGAATTACATGGAAGACAGGAAAACCTGGCTTTGCATACTATGACCTATGAACTAGTCTGGTGAAGGCATTGTCAGCAGCTGAGCGGTGTCCCCATCATCATGGGGACCTCTCTGTCGGGCCTCATCTGTGCATCGCTGACTCCTGGTTCAAAGTCCAGAATGGGTCCATCTTGCTGGCCGAGCCTTGGTCACATGGCTGCATCTTGGCCACATGACTGCAAGGGAAGCTGGGAAAGTAAGTGACATTTTATGCTTCTATAAAAGGAGATAGACTCTGCCTCCCACCAAGACTTTTAAGGAGGGGAAAGAAGTTCAGTTGATGAACAGACAAAAATCATATGAACATCTACTTCACCAATCAAAATAAAGTCCCCAGAATCACAGAATACACACATAGTATTGGCACCAGCTAACAAGCCTAGCAGAGGCCCAGCAGTATCTGTGGGAAGTAGAGAAAACAGAAAAGAAAAGAAAAAAACTTTTAGGTATCAGCCTGTTGTTAATACCTCTCAATCGATGTTGGTTTTCTATAGTTCTTGACCGATCAACTTTACACTATGTTAGGAGAAGTCTTTCAACAATAAGTTAATTATGGCCTATGGCAGGTCTGGAAATCGAAACCTTCCTAGCCTCCTGCAAAATTTATAAATTTTAAGTGATGCTTTAGAAGTTACTGGAAAATCGTAGGGCTCGGTGGATTACAGGTGTGGTGGCTCACGCCTGTAATCCCAGCACTTTGGAAGGCCGAGGCGGGTGGATCACGAGGTCAGGAGATCAAGACTATCCTCCTTAACACGGTGAAATCCCGTCTCTACTAAAAATACAAAAAATTAGCTGGGCATGGTGGCAGGCGCCTGTAGTCTCAGCTACTCGGGAGGCTGAGGCAGGAGAATGGCGTGAACCCGGGAGGCGGAGCTTGCAATGAGCCAAGATCGCGCCACTGCACTCCAGCCTGGGCGATAGAGCGAGATTCCGTCTCAAAAAAAAAGTTGCTGGAGAATCCTTTCCTCCCCGTTCTGTAGATTTAATGCCCCTTAATTTCCATTTCCCCTGTGTCCCCGTTGAGCCAGAAACACAGCCCCACGTCCTCTCGTAAGCAGCCATTGGAATGGTGTGCTGGTAAACTGGCTCTCAAATAAATAAGCCCTGATTGGCAGTGTTTTCTCATTTCTTTGGTGTAAATACTCTCACTGTGGAAGATTTTAAGCTGTCAAGGTTGTGGCATGCAAAATTCCTAAATATTTATCACCCCTTTTGAATGCCTAGGAGCGATTGCCCACGCTCTGTCACCCAGGCTGGAGTACAGTGGCACAATCTCAGCTCACTGAATTTCCGCCCGCCCCCCGTTCATGCGATTCTCCTGCCTCAGCCTCTCGAGTAGTTGGGATTACAGGTGCAAGCCATCACGCCGGGCTGATTTTTGTATTTTTAGTAGAGACAGTGTTTTGCTTTGCCATGTTGGCCAGGCTGGTCTTGAACTCCTGGTCTCAAATGATCTGCCTGCCTTGGCCTCCCAAAGTACTGGGATTACAGATGTGAGCTACCGTGCCTGGCCATTGCCTGGATTTTCAAAGGACTGTGATACCTGCCTCTTGGGGCAGTTTTCTCACTTGTTTAATCTGGAGAATCATTAGTAGTGGATTCCTCAACTGAAGCTGCCATGGAATGTATGTTCCCAGGGGGCAGAGATCTTTATTTTGTTCACTGCTGTACTCCCAGTGCCTAGAACAGCACCTGGCACATAGAAGGTTCTTAGTACCTATTCGTCTGTGGCTCTGAGGCTTTTCATCAAGGCTTGGTGAGGACAAACATCTCTGCCATGTGCTGGTCCACAGAGCACTGCCTTGAGGATTAAAGCTGTGTCAAAGGCAGCAGCAGATTACCTTATGTCCTGTCTTTTGCTGAGAAGTGGAATATGTCTCTGATCATCTATATGCCTCTGTTGTTCCACTTCTCTTTTCAGGGCAGCGCAGCCGAGTCTTTCACATTTTACCTTGCTTCTTCAGTTGGCCATTTCCTTCTTTATCACATGTCAGCCAGCACTGTTTGCTGTACTGATTAGTGTTTTCATCTTTATTTCCCTTTGCTTTTGAGTCAGGACATTTTTCTGATATGGTCCTTAAGTTCTGCTTTGTGGGGTCCACCATAGTGAGCAATATGAAATTATGAAGTTTTGAATCTGCTAACAACATGACTGTTGAAACACATCTTATCCTTCTTTCTCCTTGCAGGTGGTTTTGTCCTGTTGGATCAATTATCTAACCTGGGCCTGGACTCCGTCTACCACTGTGCTGCCTGGTTCACTGCAGCTCACTTCATCTTCCTGTGCCTTCTCTGAAAGGCCCCCTCCAAAAGTTTCCAGGGTATGTCCCCTCAAGGTACATACCATGTCTACATTCCCACCTGTAGTATTCTGATTGAGCCACCTCAAAACTCACTGGTAATGCTGGACACATTCTGTGCCCATCTTCCCAGACCTCCCTCCCCAAATCCGGCCACAGTTGCATGACTACCTGGTATAACTGTCGTAGTCTTTAAAGGGTGATTTCCCCAATTAAACTTATTGTTGACTCCTTATCTGACCTTTTAAGAGAGGACCTCTCAAGAGCTTCCTGGAACTATGCTCCCTGGTTGAGGGTGGGGTGGGTGTGTTGATTATTCCAGTCTCTTCTCTGAAATCTCTCCTTTTTTATTAGAGTTCTTTGGACACATGTCACCCTTTTTGGCCTAGTAGTAGCCAAAGGAAAAGAGTCTCTATTAATAATACCTTATTTGAGAGCAGTTGGGTCCAAGCATATCTTCCTTTGCCTTTCAGATTGGACTAGTCTTGCCTTCACAATAAAAGCATTTCTCTTAAGGAAATCCTTCCCTCTACATGGCAGTGGTGCTAAGGCTCAACTTTAGCCAGTCAGAATGGACACTGGCTGCAAACAACCAAGGTGTGTCTCTGGCTGAACCCCAGGCTTCCCCTGCTGTTCTCCCTTCCCCCATTATCAGCCTAGCTCTTTCTCTCCAACTGCTCTCATTCTGACTTTAGGTCAACGTGTCTAAATCAATTCAGCTCCTCCTTGATTCTTGGAGACAGTATGCTCCTGCCACAGGTCTTTTTACTACTCATTTTTTGTTTCTTTCTTTCTTTTTTTTTTTTTGAGATGGAGTCTTGCTCTGTCACCCAGGCTGAAGTGCAGAGGCATGGTCTTGGCTCACTGCAACCTCCACCTCCCAGGTCCAAGCAATTCTCCTACCTCAGCCTCCCAAGTAGCTGGGATTACAGGCACACACTACCACACCCGGCTAATTTTTGTATTTTTAGTAGAGACGGGGTTTTGCCATGTTGGCCAGGCTGGTCTCAAACTCCTGACCTCAAGTGATCTGCCCGCCTCAGCCATCCAAAGTGCTGGGATTACAGGCATGAGCCACCGCGCCTGGCCAGTTTTTCTGTTTGTTTGTTTGTTTTTTGTTTGAGACAGGGTCTTGCTCTGTGCCCGGGCTAACTAAGTGCAGTGGTATGATCATGGCTCACTGCAGCCTTGATATCCCGGGCTCAAGCAATCCTCCCATCTCAGCTTCCCATGTAGCTGGGACTATAGGCATTCATAAACAACCACTCCTGGTTAATTTTTATTTTTTATTTTTGAAATGAGGTCTCATTATGTTGTCCAGGCTGGTCTCAAACTCCTGGAGGCATGCAGTCCTCCCTCCTTGTTCTCCCAAAGTGCTGGGATTACAGGTGTGAGTCACCCCATCCAGCCTATTCCTCTTAATCTTTGGTTTTACTAAGATTTTCATTAATGCCCCAAAAGATGGCCAGCCATCTATAAAATAAGGGCCCCAATTTCTCTATCTGTTTATTGATAAAAAGCCACTACACTCTGTGGCTGAACCTCCAAATCTGGGTCTCTGATCAAAACCATGGCCAGGGTTAAGTAACAAATCTACAGAAGACTTTATGCCATGGGCTTTGAGAGTGATTCTAGGAGTCTGTAGGTAAGTGTACAGAATCAGGATATTAATTCCACCACAGTTCTTTTCTTGGCCCTAAAATTGGATTCAGGTCAACACAACATAAATAGGAAGAGAATTTGAAGCAGTTGATCGAATGCGCGGAAGGCTAGAACCACACAGGCTAGTGTACTCTAACCCAGTGGTCCTCAGACCAGTAGCATCACCTAGGAACCTGTTAGAAATGCAAATTCCTAGGTTTTACCCCAGACCTACTCAATCATGGAGTGGTCTCCATGATTGTATCCAGTGGGACTAGATACAGTCCAGGAAACTGTATTTTAATAAGCTTACTCAGTGACTTTTATGCATGTGAGAGTTTGAGAACCGAAGCTGTAGCCCACATGGAGCTTAGCTTCCTTTGGCCTATTCCTGCCTGAGAAGCATGGTAGGAATGACAAAAAAGTATTCCAACTACTGATACCTAAAGAATGTATTCACTGAAGCTCTGCAAGTTTTAAGTGACTGAACGATTCCTCTAATGTTGTCTGCACCTGCTTAGATCTATCAGTTACAAAGTCTGCGCAGCCTGTGTATACTGAGGTAGCAAAGGCCTGAGTTTGCTGAGGTCCTGCAACACCAGTCTCATTAAACTGCTGTATCCTAAATAAGTCAAGGACCTAGAGTCCCCTCCTGTCCAAAGCATCCTTCTTACTGGGTATATCTTAAGTCTCCATCCCTGTGCCTGTTCCTTAAGCTTTCCTGGGCTTTGGGCCCTGTGCGGGTTTTGAGGGTGGTAGAATGAGTCCACAGCTAGGGATCAATATCAACTTTATTGCTGATAAAGTTGGATTGGAAAATGCAACTGGGACTCTGCCGACACCACTGAGCTTCCTAGTACCTTCCCCAGCATTGAGTCTCCCCACCCAGCTATTGACCTCCCCTCAGCAGAGGCAGAGGCTCCTTGGTGGGATTGCCAGACCAGCCATATGGTCCAGTTTGGCTCACTAGAGCTTATGCAGCCTTTCCCCAAACCCCACGTCCATCCCCCCGTCAGCTCATTTACCTGGTCTTTGGAAAAGAGTGGTAAATGGTGGAGAGACAGCCAGGGGAGGTGCTCCAGTACTGTCCCCTCTGGGGTGGATGTGAAGATAGAGAAATAAGGCTTTCCCTGGCTGTGGGAATCATATCTGAGGTCATGAATAGGAATAGGAATGAGTCTAGAATAGGAAGAGGGGAAGGTCAGGACAGGCTTAAGTGAAGCTTACATGTAAACATGGTTGCAAGGAGGAAGCCCCAAACTAAGAGGAAAAAGGAGAGTAGGAGGAGAAACCCAAGGAGCATGTGGCATCACAGAGGCAGGGGGAAGAGCATTTTGAGGAGAGAGTGATCCGCAGTGCCAGAGTTTCCTGAGTGGGCAGTAATATGAGGAACAAAACCAGTTCCTTGGATTTAACCACATGGAATTACTGGTGACTTTACAGAAGGGTGGAAAGGGGAACTGAGCTTTAAGATAGTCACTGGAAGGAGACAGGGTGTCCTGGGGGAGGCTAGAGCTTGTCTGAACACTGATGCAGAAGGACAGCCACATGTACTGTGGAGGCTATGGCGGGGGCTATAGCCCAGGCCCCATGCTCCTGACCAGGCACCTTGGGTGCAGGCTCTGTCATCTATCTGGAGGACCTTCCCTAATTTGCACAAAAATCCTTCATGAGCTAACAGCTGCCCTGGATGGGAAAGATCTCCCAGCTAGTCCTGAGATACCTCCAAACCCCAATTTTCAGTGACAACCCCTTAGTTTCCTAGGAACCACACTTTAGATTAACGAGGAGTGGACTGCAAAGGCAACGGGACAGCTCTGACTCTCAGGATGGGAGAGCATCTCCCCGGACCAATTGCTGCCCTCTCTCCTGTCCTGATCCTCAGATCCCGTGTTCCTTAAGAGCTGGTCTTCAGGCATGGTTTTTAGAAACATGGATTTAACTCTTATTTACGATATCTTACCTTTTTCAATGAAATAACTTGCAACTATGATATAGAAATATTACTACCACCAGAGACATCTTAATGATAAGCTGCCCTGCTAATACCACACGCCTACAGTTTCCCACACAACTTATCATATGTTCACATTCCTAGAAAACCAAAATAAATGGAATTGGAAAAAACTGTTTAGCAATTTTGGTCAGGGTGCATTTATTTATTTATTTATTTATTTATTTATTTATTTATTTATTTGTTGTTGTGGGGTTTTTTGTTTGTTTTTTTGTTTTTTTGTTTTTTTGTTTTACAGTCCAGAGGTCATTTAATTTTTTTACACCGATTACACCATGAATTCATATAGGGAAGACGGCCCAGCGGCTCAGGCTGTTTCCCGTTGACTCTCACTCAGTGAGCTTCTCCGGGTGAAGCAGGCTGGCGCCTCAGTTGAACCCAAGTGCTTTCCTCTTTGGCTTCCTTCTTTTTTGATCATTTTCCTTCACATGTTTCAGGAATCTATGGCGGCTGTGCTTAATGTGCTCAATAAATACCCCCATTAATTCTCTTGGCAAGAATCTTGCCCTCAACTTGTTTGTTTATGACAATGCCAATAGCATGCTGTGGAACACTGTAGACTCTTCCAGTCTCGCCATAACATTTGTGGGACATTCCTTTTTGAACAGTACACATTCCCTTGATGTCTACAATATCACCTTTCTTTAGATTGGCATGTATATGGCCAAAGGAACAACTCCATGTTTTCTAAAAGGCCTAGAGAACGCAGGTTGGGTGCCTCGCCTCTTTCTCTTTGTGTTTGTCATTTTGGGAAATTACTGGAAGATGCTAGTTCTGACTGAAAGGGTCATTTAGTTCATATTAAGATTTAAATCTGGCTGAGTGTGGTGGCTCACACCTGTAACTCCAGTACTTTGACAAGTTGAGGCAGCAGGATCCCTTGAGCTCAGGGTTCAAGACCAACCTGGGCAACAAAGTGAGACCCTCTCTAAAAACAAAAAGAAGAAAAAGATTTAAATGTGTTATTAAAGGGAAAAAATTAGGATTGATACTAAAAGTTTATTTTAAATTGGCCTCAGGATAATTTAGATATGTAAATTATTTTTTAACACATACACACACACACACACACACACAATCCTATGAAACAACCAGATTTCGTTTATTTTATTTTTTAGTTTTTTTTTGCCTTAGATCCAGGGACAGACTGGATGACAGCCAGATTTGAAATGTCTGCACTTTGGATGCTATAATTAGGAGTCAATTAATCAACTATTTTATGTTAATAAAATTCTACCCATGTTTCTGGTATCCCAAGGTAAGAGAAATGACAAAACAAAATGATTTATTATCAGGAAATGACTAAAGGAGATAACTGTAATATAAAAGATAAAGAATGATAATTACTATTATACACTTGGTAGCCAGAAACTTAAAACAGACTGGTTTCCGGGGAAAAAAAATTAGTACAGGCACGTTACCCACTGTAGGACATTTATGACAAACTCTTTTTTAGGAGATTAAAATATGATACTGGAATGTGATAGGCTTCAAAATAACATAATATCAAAACATGTCAGGGACTTATTTACAGATGAAAATGACTTCTAGTGGGATTTTGGCACTTTCTTTCTACAGGGT